CAGAGCCGTGGCGTGTAAGCCTCCAGGTACACCCGACGAACCCAAAGAAAAATGCTACGGGGCCTCGGAATAGATCAGCAGGGCGCAGTTCTCGCAAGTCTTAAGATCCTGGGCGTGGATTATAGGGTGCATTGTTGCGTGACTTGTGGTTCAGGGTCAACTATCATACAACCTTTGGGCCTAGATGAACTCAAATGTACGTAGATAGTTTGGAGCCACAATAATGAAAGCTTGCCTGGGTACTCCAAACGCTCCGGGTCATTCGTTATGCCAAAACCTTCATGACAGATGACAGTTGTTCTACATCCTTTGGGGGTCCAGGTCCTAGATGCCCAAAGTATGTAGAAAATGTCTCCAGGGTTTCGGGTTTAGGGTTTTGGGACCACTTTTCCACATACTTTTGAAGGCCAGGTAGTCATGGATAATGAAATCCGGAATATTCGCGAGAACCGGGGCAAGACTAGCGATGCCTGCTCGCAATCCTCCTTCCTTAAACCGCTGAACCCCAACCCCACAACAGGCCCCCCTCCCCATCAAACCATTCCACCACGTTTTCTGTCTAGTCCAGCAATCTAGTCTTGGGGTTTAGGGCTTAGGCTTTAGGACCTAAGCCCCAACTGTTTGATAATACTTCTACTTACTTTGAGTTCCTGAACAGCAATCCAGTCGGTGTGGAGCTGTGGGTAGTCGGCAGACATCCCTTAGCAGCTGCATGCTCATCCCGAGACCCTTTACCTTCTTATTCTTGATGACCAGGTTCAGGGTTCAGGGTTGAGAATTTCGCCTGAAGCCCCTTTCTTACGGGCAAAGGCAATATTGACGTGCGATTTAGCTTTGGCTCCTAGGATGTGTGGGGGTTGCCCGTGGTTTCTGGGATTCCTTTCAAGGATCCTACGAGGAAGTCTATCTATCTATTTATCTATCTATAAAGAAGAGATTTCAGAGCTGACGCCGCTATAACATTGCAGCACTGCATGATGCCAAGGCACATTGTCGTTGGTCGCGCCGTTCTCCTTGTTGTTGAGGATCATGAGGGGTCCCTGAAAAGGAAGTGGTTCATCAGGCCACGGCAAAACATAAAGGGGGAGTATCGGCAAGGGGTTTTCTGTGAGACCCTGATCATAGCTGGGGAGTGAGATTTACATCGTACGCTTTGGGTCTAATCCCCTCCCTCTCACATTAAACCACCCCCCCTCCCCCGAAGGTCAACAATTCCCAGTACATTACTATGGTATACCACCATTATTTGGGGAAACTGCCAAATAGGTACTTTTCAATGAAACCCAGGCCGTCTTTGCAGCTACTGGAGGGACTAAGCTCCAAATTCCTGAGCAAGAAACCCCACAACAGGGTTGAGGGTTCACGTCCCTCCTGGGGGTGAAGTGTTATAGACCCTAAACCCTGAGCCGTGGAAATTGTCATAAGATTTACAGTTTAGAGTTTTGGAATTACACCCCAGTCGAACCAGGGATGCCCAAAATGAGTTTGAATAGGTTTCAGGTTCAGGTTTTAGGCTTCATAAGGATCCCTGCCCTTGTTCCCTACTACCTGAAACCCAGTGTATGTAGAACAAACAACTTCACGTTTGACGATTCTCAGGGTTTAGCCATTGTTCTACCTGCTTTTGGGGTCCAGGTAGGCGCCATGCCAATAGTCTAAGCTCCCAGCATCCCCCTTCAGAACACCTTTAATGGTCCCCTATAGATTTCCTTATATAACCATCTTTGAAAACTTAAGTCTTTAAGGAGTTTAGACCATTCTTATGTAGATCCAACTCACAGCTCAAAAGTGCCAGGGAGCAGTGCACGGATTGTTTCCGCCTTGTTTTCGGCCTTGCTTTCGTGCTGAGACGGGGTTGAATGCTGGGGCCGAAGTAATTGCACTCATGAGCTTGGGGGTACCTTACATTTTTTCCTCTATACAGGCTGCGGAGTAACATTTTCAACAAGTCAGGCTTCTGCATTGTATTGAAAGGGGTTAGGATTGCAGCTCAAGGTTTAGACTAACTAAGGATACTTGACTCTTTACTTTTCCAGCGGTGTCTCAGCAGCGCTCTTACCCAAAATGATCCTTACTTGGGCCTTGCGTGCGCGGCTTCAGGTGCATTACGGGTGTTGCACTAAGTAGTTCCTGTACACGGTTCAGGGTTCAGGCTGTATGTTGTAATCTCGAAGCCGAACCACAACAATGTCCATGAAAACAAGCTGCGGTTGCCCGTGATGGTGACGCCCGGGACAATGTTTGGCGTGATCTGAGTTCCTCGTATTTCGGACATTGGGTTTGAGAGGTAGGGACTTAAACATGGGTGCCCCAAGGCTGAAGAGGAAACCCCCATAATTTCTTCTGAGACGCTCCCATTGGGAGTTGGACACGTAGTGTTTTGTCTACTCTTGTGCAGATCATGGCGGGGCCCCTGCATGTATCCCCTCAATCGTTTCGTAGGGAGCCCCAGTATCAGATATCGATGTACTATGATCCTGAGTATTTATATAGCAACCCCCCAAAATGGTACCCCTAATTTCGGGAACCCCCTCGACAAGTAGGTGTATAGGGTTCAAGTGGAGAGTCCAGGGCTCAGCACTCTAGAGGCCCAATTCATGGAGTATGCATGTGGAGCTTTCAGCATACCTCACACGCAGCAGTGGCCTTAGGATCGGACGTAGATAGCCGGAGAAACAACCACATGCCAGTACCCGGCACCAAGCCCCTTCTTGAACAAGAATTGGGTGTGGGACATGTTTTACTGGAAATAATTGTGGCAAATGTCTCATAAGGGCAGAATGCTGGAAATTGTGGAGGCGTTTCAAGTAATTGACCAGCGACTGACGTTCAAACTCAAGTTATGGGTTGCAAGCACAATGGAATGGCTCCTGTGCTGCACCGTCAGGGGTCCCCAACAATGGTAGTTTCCTTCAATAGGGGGACCCCAATCACGATGTGGTTCAGGCTCTGCTTCAATGCACCCCGGAGGTCTCTCAGTTTGATGCTACAATTTCTGCACAGGAAGTTCGGTTTGCGATCGACAAACTCGATCCCCACAAGGCTCGTGGCATGGACGGGTGGAGCAACGCTGAACTTAAGCTGCTTCATGAAGAAGAAGTACAGATGCTGGCGGACTTCTTCAACCAAATTGGTCATCTTCAGCTGTGGCCGCAGACCCTTTCAGTTGCCTGGGTTTCTTTGCTGTCAAAGGTTCCGCAACCGCTTCGCAAGATCATGGCTGCGAAAGTCTTTGTGGCCATTCTGCCAGTGCTGCCGGAGGACCTGTATGGATCAGTGCCTGGTAGGTCGACACTGGATGCTGCTTGGGAATTACAAAGCACACTGGAGGAAGCCTTGTACAAGCAAGAATCAGTCATGGGGGTCACGTTGGATCTTTCCAAGGCCTATAATACTCTCCCCCGGAGTTTTCTTAGGCAACTTGCTGGTAGG